GGTACATTGCACTACATGACTTAGAACAGGGGTCAACAACCTATGGCCTGGGGGCCGGGTGCGGCCCCTCGAGGCCTCTGAACTGGCCCGTCGCTGCACACTGCCGCGCCATCACCACGCACATCACGCCCGCCATTTTGTTTTTCAAAATGGCGGCCATGACTTGTTGGCGCATGCACAGTACTCCTGCACTTGTGCGAACAAGCTGCGGCTGCCATTTTGGAAAACAAAATGGTGGTCGCAACTCACTCACGCATGCGCAGTACTACGGAAGCGTGTGCCGCCATTTCCCCCCCCCTCCCAGGTCTGAAAATCTTGCAGACCCCTGACTTAGAATATACTTTCCAAACACCAAATGGTTTCACATTCTTTACTTCCCTGTACATTAGGACGTTCCCTGGCAGGCTTATGAAGAGTCAGGTTCCTTGTGAGGAATGAGCAGTTGAAACTTAGAGGTGTTTTTTTTTTTTAGCTTTCACATAAGTAGGAAGAGTGTTTCCAGCACTTTGTGGGCACCAGCCATTAAAATCCATCAATGCTGATTTATGCATCAGCTAGCCACCAATACCCATTAAGAAAGCATTTTTAGCAACTGTCTATACAAAAACCAAGACAAAAAGGTATCTTGCCACCTAATGGTTGTAACATAATCTATTTAAACAGTCTAAACTGCAATCCTAAAAGGCATTTCAACTAGCACAGAACCTCTTGAATATCAGCCTATTTTAAGTAAATAATACATGTTCCACAAAACATGTTCTAAAATACACAATAGCTTCTAACACAATGGGCCCTAATTGCTTTGAAGGACCCATCTAGATTGTGTTGAATGAATGTGGGGGAAGGGAGAAAGTTACTTCATGTAGGCTTGTATAATTCACAGAATGCATTGCCTGTCATGCATTCGTATTTACACAACAAATACTGGAGGACTTGGCTTGACCTAGAATAATTTATCACTGCAAGTTTTCAAGTGAGATTTCACTTTATGCTTTCAGGAAACTATGCTTAACCAAACACCGAAACACGTACATGCACACATTTTAAAGTAAGCCAAAACTGATAGTCAAAAATAATATAGGAGTGGGGGATCCAGACTTTAGGGATGGGGGAACTGTTTGATATACGTCTTTCTCTAAAAATTTATAATGAAGAGCTTGATTATTTTCCACAAAGCATCCCATCCACATTTGCACACCTGTTTGAAGTGGCATATTTGTATGTGTATAACCACAAATATAGACCGAACGAGACCTTAAACTGTGAAATGGCACACGCATGGTAGAGTTGCACTTTGCATCCTATCAAAGCATGGACTAGCTGCTTGTACACGCAAACGACAATTCAAGTCCAAGTTAAAGACTTTATTCTTGCTTATGGGATTCTTAACAAAGGCACTCCTCACACATATTACAAAAGAGAATAGTGGCTTGGTTTGTAGGTCCGGGGCTAATTTCCCACCCCTTAGGATCCATTGCAGAGCACACTGGGACCAAAAAAGCAGACATAAAAGTATCTGGGGTGTTCTTTCACACTGCACTGTTATAATGCTATGATTCCATTTTAGCTCCCATGGCAACATCCTGTGGAATCCTAGTTTAGGAAGGAGCCTTTAGACTCCTTAGCTAGGGAGCTCTAGTGCTTCCCCAGTCTACATGCTCCAGGATTGCGCAAGATGCAGCCATAGCAGTTAAAGTGTCATCATAGTGATACAGCTATCTTGTGTGGAAGGGCCCCAGGTTCTGTTAAACCATTTGGGGAGGGATGGGGGGTAAATAAGGCCAGGTGAGCTACTCCTTCTTTTAATTATGAATCACCAGGATTCCAGGGGGAAAAAAATATTATTAAAATTTTTCAGCAGGGATGCTGGAAGGGGTACTGGAAAGTGGTCTCTGGGCCAACATGTGGGCCATGAGATGCAGGTTCATCCTTGTCCTTAGATATGGATTGGTATAATACTTCTTGTAATCTTGACATAGAGATGGAAAGTGGAAGAATTAGTGTTTGCCGAATAAGGAGTAGAAGAAGGCGGCACATAAAAACGGTAAGTCAGGGGATTGGGATGCTATTTAAAGAGCCTAGAGGAGAAGAAAAATTGGACTACGCCTCCCAGAATTCCCCAGCCAATTCACACTAACAATTATTCCTGAGGAACAACATTTGACACCCTCGGTTAATGGGAGGGCTGCACCGTAACACCATTAATGTACTGAATGATGAAGCAAAGAGAAATAATAACTGGTATTATAACACAAGGGCAGTAGGTTTCCCAATAAATTCACAGGCACATCAATAAAAAGTGCAGAAGAATACAGTAAGAGCCAGCAAGGAAACACAATTTGGGGTTTGTACTATCACCCTAAGAGACCAAATTCTTGCTCTGCTGTGGAAACCCACTGGGTGATTTTGGGGAAGCCACACACTCTCAGCCTCAGTGGAAGGGAAGGGCACACGTCTTCTAAACCAATCTTGTCAAGAAAAGCCCATGATAAGGTTGTTGTAAGACAGAGTTACTTGAAACCAAACAACAACCACCACCACAAAGGAAGACTCAGTAGTTCTGAAAAGGTGGTGTAGAAACAACAGCAAGAGGATCTTCCAGTGGCACCATACACCTGGTGCAAAAGTCTGTAGCTGGGGCAGTCAGAAATAATGCACAGAAAAGACAGAATTTCCCTGGTAGGCAGAATATATGGCAATGTTAGAAGAGGTGGCGACGGCCCCTTGGTTAAAACAGAGTTCAAGAAAGTACATGTTTATTCAGTAGTAAGTTCTATTGCGTTCAAGGGGACTTAACTCCTAATAAAAGTATGTAGCAAACTGCAGCTTTAGTTGGTATAAAATATTAATTTTTTTACTCATATGGGACTCTTCAACAAGTTGACTGGAAAAGTTGGTCACTCACAGTAATAAAGCTACAATTGTAAATATTTGTAATAATTTCAGATAGATAATGATCATATCTAAAACATTTTAAAACTTCAAGTATAATACCATGGTCACATCTGCATGCAATGACAGCCTAGGGTTTTAGTACATTCTGGTTTATCATGAACAAGCTGCATGGTATACATGTCTGTATTTGCTCTCAGTTGACTCCTGCATCCCTTCAGTCCAAACAACTAAGTAAACCTTAATGCAGGGATGGGAGACTGTGGAAAGGTAAGGTGCTACTTTAGCCCCTCCAAGACAATTTGGAAGGCCACTACCCATACAAATTTGCCCAGTTCATCCCCAAAATGTGGTAGAAATCACTCCACACACAACCTAGCGAGCATTTTGGAACAATTTTTTTGGGGGGGGGGATGCAATTTTTATCCCCTTGTGGGCCCAGGGGACTACCATGTATGGTGGAAATATCACCCATAGCCTTTAGAATTCATATGGGGGCATTTTTGAGCAGAAAATGTTTTATGGGAGCCAAAAAAAAAATTGGCCACGGGGACTGCATATGGCCCATATTTTGCCCACTCCTGGCTTAATGTGTTGCCCAAATCTGAGATTACAGCTAGTTGCTCCCTTTTCAAACCAGGATAACAAATCAGGGTTTGTTGTTAGTTTACAAATCCTATCTGTTTTTCGAGTTGCAAGCCAGGATCCCACTGTGCAAACCATATCTGGTTAATTTAGCAGCTCACAATATTGGGAGCTGAGGGACTGTGTGTTAATTCAAAGTGTGTTGAGTTTCCCTAAATTCTTGGTTTACCATTTTGTATGCATTTTGCTTGCCTTAGCCCTGTGTTCAATATCTGAGGTGAAAATTAAACCTTGCCTCATTTACTCAGCTGGTGGCAGCTTGCCTACGCATTCCACAGAACAGGAAGACAACGCAAACAATCCTAGTAGGAATGTGGAGAAACAGATTATGTACCCTCACATTTACAGAAAGATCAACAAGTCAAAACCTCAAACCACCAACTATACAGAGATGGCCTTTATGCAATTTGCTATCTATTTATAACATACACTGACCGAAATAAGGACATGATGCATCCACTTAGCCCTCTAGGATGGGTGCTGAAGATACCAGTACAAAGAAGATGAGCCAATTACCAGTTTCTTGAACATGCTCCAAATACATTTCTATTATTCTTCATCTTTCTGTTTGTTGTTATTCAGCAGTATTCTGTTCTATTTTACTGCATTTTTAAAACAAAAACATTTTTTAAAGGAAAGGAAATGTTTGTGTTTTAAATACGCTTTTACCTTCTCCACTGGTGTTTAACCAAATTTTCATTCTGCGAAATTAGAGTTCAATCTAATCTGAACATCTCTTTAATTAATCAGCAGTTGATTTGATGAAGATACCATAGCCTTCTGCCTTTTTTTTTTTTAAAAAAGGAGCCTTATTCAGCAATTGGCAATATCTTATTAGTTAAGATGAGCTAAGGTATAGTGTTGCCTAAGAGGCAAGGGTTAGCAAATTCCTGCCAGAAATAAATACATAAAAATATCCTGACCATGCATACAGGTATATAAAAGAATGACTGAAACTTTCATATACATTGGACATCTAAGTGAGTCAAATAGTTAAGAGAAACAATGCTAGAAGAGAGATCTGGGCGAGCCATGTTGGACATACAATAAAGTACAATAACATCCAAAATCCACAAAACAGTGATACCCTTATTGGAATGACCAAAATGCAAAAAAAATAAAATGCAAGCTTTTGAAGCTCCACTGGTTTCTTCATCAGGAAAAGGTGTTAAAAATCAAATAGGAGAGAAAAAACATGAGAGGTAACTCTGCTAAAGGTGTGCATGATGACAAACCTTGTGGTATCTGAACACTCGATTATCATCAGAATAGTGCCACTCTATTCTGCTTTGGTCAGGCCC